CAGGGGCCAGATGCGAGGGTCCCTGGCGTCTGGGTCCAGACGCCAGGAACCTTGGCGTCTGGCCCTGGAGTCCGAGAAGGACTCTTGCCTTTCGGGTGAAACCGACTTTGTGGAGGCTTTTACTCCAAGTTTCGACTCCAAGGCTCAACATATAAATAGAGGGGCAGGGCTAGCACCAGAGACACGTCAAGAAACACCAAGCCATGTGCCGGCAACCCCGTCCCCTCTAGTTTATCCTCCGTCATAGTTTCCGTAGTGCTTAGGCGAAGCCCTACGGAGATTGTTCTTCACCAACACTGTCACCACGCCGTCGTGCTGCCGGAACTCATCTACTACTTCGCCCGTCTTGCTGGATCGAGAAGGCGAGGACGTCATCGAGCTGAACGTGTGCAGAACTCGGAGGTGCCGTGTGTTCGGTACTTGGATCGGTCGGATCGTGAAGACGTACGACTACATCAACCGCGTTGTCATAACGCTTCCGCTTAGCGATCTTCAAGGGTATGAAGATACACTCCCCCTCTCATTGCTATGCATCACCATGATCTTACGTTTGCGTAGGAAAATTTTGAAATTACTACGTTCCCCAACACTTATTCCATAGTCCATCGAATCTTTACCCAAAACTTGAAAACTTCACAACACAAAACTCAACAGAATTTCGGGTAGGCTTAGATTGAGTTATGATATAATCAATGTTCTCAACAGTGAGGAGAAACATAATCTTCCTCTTCCAGTCAGTAAAATTTGAACCATCCAATTTACAAGATCTAAGTAACCCAGCAAACACACTGTTGGAAGCCATCAGAGGTGATGATTACCATGGTAAAAATTCCAATCAGCACTTGTACTTCCACGCTGACTAGTAACAGCAAAAATTCCAAACAGCACTTGTACTACTACGTTGATTAGTAGCAGCAAACTCACGTGTGATTTGTAGGTTCCGAGCAGCCGGCAGCAGCTCGTGCAGCTTGGCTAGTTGTCAAAGCAGAGGATTTGGAGCAGCAACAAACTCTGCAGGTCTGATTTCCCGGCTGGTTGTAGATGAGCAGCCGGTCACGGCGTGGAGGATGAGGTGGGCGCCGCGACGGGTACGGCGAGGCGGCGGTGGAGACGGCGAGAAGTCCGCCGCGGCAGGGACGGCGATGCGGCGGTGGAGACGGCGAGGCTTCCGCCGTGGCAGGGACGGCGAAGCGGCGTTGGAGACGGCGAGGCGGACTCGCAGCGGAGACGGCGAGACGGCGAGATCGGGTGAGTGAGGGTTTTCCCGATCGAGCGAGTTGTGTTCATCAGATCTAGGCGACTCTGTTCCAGACTTTGGGAGGAGTACGCAGCAGAAGTTGTTTCCTCCCAGGTCAGGCTGCAAGTGGGACGCTCCGCGGGACACCCGCATCATGCCGCATCAGCCCGCGAATTTAAGTGGGCTTACGCGGGATCCCCACATAACCTACAGTTTAGTCCGCGGTTGCGGCTCGCATACATAATTCAGATTGCAGTAGTATACATCGTTGCGCCTCTTGATAATACTGTACTACTGCATGCCTATCCCTGGCTAGACAGGTGCATTGTCGAGCATAGAAAGCAGCGCCCGCAACGCTTCCAGCACGTCTGCAGCGACGTCCCTGGAACCATCGAACTCCGGCGAGGAGCTGCCGGAGTGTTGCCTCCATCTGTCGATGACACGCTCCTCCTTGCTGACAGCGTCGATGAGCATGCCCATGTTTAGCCAAGTAGCTAGAATCAAATGGACCCAACGTGCATCCCAAACTAGCCATCGTGCCAACGCCTCCATTCATGGCATCAGCACTTAATCACGCAGCCAAGCACAGGACAAAGCCATTGTGTTCGCGGACGTGCGCACATCGGTGCGCTGGCGTGCGGCCACCGGTGCACATACAGTTGCCCTGCATGTGTCGCCATGCTCATGCCATCCGCCGATCATTTGGCACTACTGCGGGCACATGGGCTGGCCTCCCTGTTGCACCGAAAACTGCAATACAAGTTCACGGACACTGGCATCGTCAGTCGGCGCAGCGGGTAGGGATCCAAGGGCGTCGCCGACGAAACTCTTCTCCATCGGCAGAGGGAGCGAGGAGGAGATGATGACGACAAGGAGGGAACTCAGGAGGAAATGTGAAAGCGGCAGCAGAGTACATGTGGGCCGGAGCTAGCAGCGTCACTTCGGCTGCTGCCTGCTGGTCGCCTCGCCTGATCCATGGTCGCTGAATCGCGCGGCGGCGTGCGTGGGACGCGGACAACTAGTTTTCTGGCAGATAACGATATGCGGGTAGGACGTGGTTTCCGTGGGATAACCCACATATTTCACATAAGTTTGACGTAATTCCGTGGGTGACCGTGAGCATCATTTTTGTGGGCTTGTAAGTGGGCACCGCGGGAGGCCCGTGTCCACTTGCAGCCTGATACGAGAGGGCTGACTGTGTATGACAATGAGCCGAATAAACACATTTTAATCATGCGAGATGTTGGCATGCATCTCACACATTATATAAAGAGAAACATTTCCCTTCGAATGACCGGCCGAGCGTCGACTGATCGCCCCTCGCTCGTTCGCTTTCTACATCAGAAGCGGACTGGGCCACGTGAGTTCGATGGGCCTTCAAGAGAGACGTACCTTTTCTTATCTTTTTCGTGTAACTTTTCTTCTTCTTCTTTTCTCTGCTTTCTTCTTCCTCTTGCCTTGTTGCTTCTCTCCTCTCTTGTTACGCACAGTGAGCTCGTCAGTGCCGACGGCACGACCTCCTGCTGATTCTGTGAGCACCCCCTCCCCCAAGGCTGCAAGCATCTCCTTCCCAACGTACCTCATACTGCTCCTTCGCCGAAGCTACAACCGGAGAGATCTTTTGCTGGAATTAGTGTTGCTTTTTTTTTAATCATGCGAGATGTTCGCATGCTTCTCACACATTTTATAAACTAGTAAAAGGAATGTGCCATGCACGCATATAAAATCCAAAGAATGTAAATTCGTACAGAAGTATGATTACTATTTTTTTGCTCTCCTTCGCTTCGTGTGTACTCTTTCTTGGTCACATCAGCTGCTAAGCTGGTTGCTTCCAGTTACAGAACCACCAGTCGAGAGTGTATCGCCTTTCGCCTTCTTCTTTGGTGAAAGAGGGTTGTCACTCTGTCTGCTGGACTTTTGAAATTTTTCCTTGGGCTGAAAAGTAACAACAAAAACTTTACTAGTTAGTAATGAAATAACAATCAGTTGTAGTTCAAATAGCAGTTTACCTCATAGTAGTTGTTGCAACACTTTGCTGCATCATTTACAGGAGCTACATCAGTTGTTTGTGGTATATGAACTGAACACAGTGCACCAGCGCGACCTGCCTGCCGAGTCTTGGCTATATGAATTGAATATATATATTGACCTGCCGAGCCTTTGCCGTCTCACCATTGAGTAATAGTGCAAAGCCAAGATGCATTGGCAGCGACCTCCCGGAGGAGACAGTTAGACTCCTAATCGAAATAACCAACCACGATCATAATCGATTATTTTCCTAGTCAAATTCCTTCTTATCCATAAGCACATATATGTGAGATATATGCCACGTTTAAATAGTATATGGTTCCTATTTAAACGTGTAGACTTATCAATCTACAGAGTTCAACCTGTAAATAGCCTAGCAAATTCCAAACCTATACTGTGCCCAGGCAATTAATTCCAGTGTACAAATACACACTGTATTCCAGTATAGTTTGTACCCAGCTCCTTGAATAAATTTCCTCAAGTTCAATTGCAAATATTTGTACCAATCATTCATACACCAATTCCGTATGATTTCATTCATCAACCAAATAAATGTAGTATATAATGTTTTGGAAGACACCAAAAATTCCTACATGACATGCTATTAGTTTGTGCCCTCAGGTTACTGCTTCGTGAAAGAGCGAAATCCAGTGATAGCGCGCTACCACGGACGAGGCCCAGTACAGCTGACCTAGTAAGAAACATGAAACAAACTTTTGCCCCGCTTTATTATATACATATTTTTAATAGTATGACACAAACTGTACATCATATCGTTGCTCTATTTTTTCTTGGACATGAATCTAGTGTGAGTTTCATATTAGTAAGTAGGTGTGGCTAGATCTCAATCGTTTGAGACAAAACAAGTCTTAGTCAAGTAACACAAATATAAAAAGAAGATAGACAAAATAAAAAAGAAAATTTGCATGGATTTTCATGTAAGATATCACGAACATAATTGACTCTCAGTCGACTAAGATTTAGCAATCCTAGCAATTACACAGTTCATTGTCACAACGACTTCAACTACCGAAAAGCCGGGGAGGCGTTGGGGCTGGACCTGCTAGACAACCCAGACCTGGTGTCCATGGACCCTGTCGTGGCGTTCAAGAAGGCCATCTGGTGGTAGATGACGCCTCAGCCACCCAAACCGTCGTGTCACGCCGTGATGACCGATGGCTGGACACCTTCTGCCCAAGATGTTGACGCCGGGATGCTCCCCGGCTACGACATGACCACCAACATCTTCAAAGGCTCGTCGGAGTGTGGCAAGGGCTACCTGACCCTGCCGGCCAAGGACCGGGCCCGCTACTACAAGATGTACTGCAACATGCTCAAAGTTGGGTATGGTGAGAACTACGGGTGCGGGCACCAAAACTTAACACAACCGTTGTTGACTCACGGAGGTTAGTGTTCACTTTCGTGTTAGTCGAGTCACTAATCAGCAAGATGCATGCTAATCCAGTGTCATTTTGCTTGGAATTCTTTCACAGAATCTCCGCCTCCTCCTTCCAGAACCGGTCTTCTGATCGGCATCTCCATAGGTTCTATATTGTTTTTGGTCATTTCCGTCACTTTGATCTGTCTCCTCCTACGGCGGAACCGGGCGAAAAACCATCACTGAGCAACGGAGCAAGGGTTGGCAGAGGTCGGCTTCTTTGATGTCAATCAGAGCATGGAATATGACTTCGATAAAGGGACCACGCCCAAGCGGTTTTGCTACAGCGGCTTGGCCATGCCCACAGACAACTTTTCCGACGATAAGAAGTTCGGACAAGGGGGCTTCGGCTTGGTGTACAAAGGATTCCTCAAGGAACTGAACCTTCACGTGGCCATCAAAAGAGTCTCCAAGGGTTCAAAGCAGGGGAGGAAGGAGTATGCCTCTGAGGTAAGGGTCATAAGCCGGCTTCGCCACAAGAATCTCGTGCAGCTTATCGGCTGGTGCCATGGAGGCCGCGAGCTGCTCCTCGTCTACGAGTTGATGCCCAACGGTAGCCTTGATAGACATCTCTATGCTGCCAATAACGCCATGCTTCCATGGTCGGTTAGGTACGCCCACCAGAGAAGAAGCACCATGCATATAAACATTGCATGCAAATTACTACTCCCTCCGTTTTTATTTACTCTACATATTAGAGTTGACTGAAATCAAACTTCGTAAAGTTTGGCCAACTTTATAGTAAACAATATACTCCCTCAATTTCCTTATACAAGGCCACAATAAAAAAATACAATTTGCATCTATACAAGGCCACTAACAGTAACCGAGACAAAAATTAATGATGTTTTCTCGTATGAGCAACTTCCTTCTCATTTGCATGCATGCAGTCATAGTTACACTGTGGTACTTCCTTCTTATTTCTTCCTTGCATGTATGCGAGCGTGTTAATGATTCTAGTTATCAAAAAGAAAAGTTGACTTGCAAAGCAGTCATTAATTTTTTACCTTGGTACTTGTAATCTGAGTTTGCGGCCTTGTATAAGGAATGGATGGAGTAATTATTTACCGTAATAAATCTATATGATATGGAACTACATTCAGTAATGAATCTAATGGTATTAATTAATTGTCGTATATGTTAATATTTTTGTCTATAAATTTTGTCAAAGTTTACAAAACTTGACTTTGACCAAAGTTAATACGTGGAGTAAATAATAAAGAAGGCAGTATCACATTGCTTCATTAGCCCTGAGCAGATGATGGTTTTATGTTGTATATGTTTCTATCTTCAGGCATGAGATTGTGCTCGGGTTAGGATCCACGCTTCTCTACCTACATCAGGAGTGGGAGCAGTGCGTCCTGCATAGGGACATCAAGCCAATCAACGTCAGGCTAGATGCGTCCTTCAACACCAAGCTCGACGACTTTGGTCTTGCCAGGTTGGTCGAACACGGCCGAGGTTCGCTCACCATGGCGCACGTCGGGACAATGGGATACATGGATCCAGAATGCATGATCACTGGCAGGACCAACACCGTGTCAGATGTTTACAGCTTCGGCGTTGTCCTCCTTGAGATCGCCTGCAGCAGACGGCCCGTGGTGGTGGTTCAGCAAGAAGAAGAAGAAGATGATGATGATGCGGTCCACCTGGCTCAGTGGGTCTGGAGCTCGTATGGAAGAGGGAAGATTCTGGACGCCGCCGACACACGGCTGGGAGGACAATTCGATGCCCGGGAGATGGAGTGCGTGTTGATTGTCGGGCTTTGGTGTGCTCAGCTCGATCTGAAGCTGAGACCGTCTATCAGGCATGCTCTTAATGTGTTGCGATTTGAGGCGCCCCTGCCTCCCCTCCCCTCAAGGATGCGGGCTGCAAGCTACATGCCACCAGTCAGTGGTATAGACAGCTGTAGATCTGAGTAAAATGCATCGGTGACCATTGAACTTGTTGTGTACGATCACTTTGATCACTTTACTTAAGAATACGATTAATACGCTCACTATATATGCGTTGCGGTGATTATACGGTCACCGTTGGCTTGTATGGCTTCATATTCCATCTAGTTGACCGGTGAAACAGCCCAGCTCACCTTTTCTATGTCTATGGGGGTGAAAGAAAATGTAGATGGAAAAAAATAAAATTATCTTCGTATTCCATCTAGTTAACCGGTGGGAATCGAACCGTGAACTTCACGCTAATAGTCTAGCGGGCTAACGAGTTATGCCTGTCTGAGGTTTTGTCTAAACTAGCTTTACCCGCGCGGTGACACGCCGCGCCCCGTTGATAAATGATGTTAATAAGTGGTTTCTTTCTTGTGTGCAATAAATAGAACTTTGGTCCATTCAATCAAAGTAATAGAACTGTGTCGATAAGGTTGTATTGTCAAAAAGTACATTCATTGTCTCCATGTGGTGCATCTTAGGCAAACAGGAAGTACACGTTGACACTTTTATAATAGGACATTTATTTCTAACCTACATCATTCCACTTTTATTTCTGGTCTAATATGCAAGAAAATTCAACAACACTAAATTGCACATGCCATCCTGACTTCTTTCAACTTTTGAACTAAATGTGGGAAAAGGAATAAGAAAGTATTTCAATAGCAAACGCAAATTCTTCTGTGTGTGTTTTGGCGCGGTATATTGTCACCGTAGACGATGTTGGTGGCGCTACATGGATCAAAGCATGCATTATTCCTTGGATTCAACATATTTTATCTCAAACTATATGCTCAAGTCTGCACACACATATTTTGCCCCGCTGCATCATAAATAAAATTGTACTGTATATGATTTCAGAAAAAATAATGTTTACAAATATTATTTCAATAAAGCAAGCAACCACAAAATCAAGAACATACTAAAAATGTTGCAATTCTATTATATGAGAGTTCAATACTTAGTAAACCAGATCCATGAATGTTTACAACAATATCTGATTTTGGGGGGAAAGTTGTGTTTAGAAGCCACAGGTCATATAAAGTTATTTAAAGAATATTGTCCTCAATAAGAGGATTGGAAGCAAAAGAAAAGTAGTACATATTAGAAATCCAGGTGTGGCACTGAGAGGAGTGTCACATCTAAGATAATTCCTTGCGCTCCGAGAAACTGAAAGTAAAAATTGCCACCCAATTGGGAAATTGTTCATTAACTGAAGCAAAATGTCCACATTTTCCTCCTTTTTCTTAGTTCCTTCTTTCAGCAGTAAGAGAAGAACATCAATTAAACTTCTTACAACCCATACATATTTCTGCGTTAAGAAAGATAAATGCTCTACTTTATTTTTCAAAATTGGCAAGTTCTATCAAATATAAGATATGTATTAAAAAAATCACCACTAAAATAATGGGTAGAGTTTTACATACAAATTGGATAGATCATAAAACCGAAGGTAAATAACATGCCACACGAAGAAATAGGCATGGAGACTACCCAAACAGCTAACACTTGTGCTTCCAGCCATCCATGTCATGCTAGCTTAAACCACCTTACTTGACTTTTTCCCCATATTTTTCATCTATCAACCCAATCTTGTTCTTTGTGCAGAACACACACTGCTATGAGGTCTAGTGGTAGGATTGACTGGCCTGGAGCGCTCCCGGGATGTGCATGTTCTTTCTGCAAACTAAACAACCATATGAAGCAGAAATGAAGAACTGCCAATTAAAAATCACATTTTCAGTGCTAGATCACCAAGGATAGTAGAAACAATCAATGCACCATAAAATGGTGCAGTTTTGTACAGAAGTTTGGCAATCTATTTTGTTGTTATTTACAACAACTACTTGTATGTAATCGTCACAGAGAATACACTATAGAAACTGTTAAAATATAGGAGGTCAGACCATGGCTGACAGCACAAAAGCATGAGTGTCTTGTTCAATACATATGACTATGCTACATATAACTATTTTCAAGTACTGGGGCAATATATATTCCTTGGGAGAACCTGAAATTGTAGAACTTGATGCATACACCTGAATATATAATGCTGCCCATTTTGCATAATTCTCTGCCATCAGTCATTCTTCTTCATATATGATTATGCAATTCTCTTTGCTTTTAGTAGGCGACCGAATATCATGGTCCAAGCAAAGGCCAGGTATGGTCAACAAATGAGGCCGCCATTGCTCATTGTTATAATCTCCGTCTTCTCCTTATATGCAAAATGCTCACTCATTGTATCAGTAAAAACAACAACTTAATTGGCAGAAAGATTGCCTATATATTACAATAGCTACTCATCTTAATTTGAAAATCAAATATCTCTGAAGCACAATTTACTTCCGAGAAATGCCTGAGAAACTATATCTTTCTTGAGATGAATATGTTTAAGCCTATTTTATGGAATGCAGAAGCAAAGTTTATCCAGGAAAGTCACACAATATATTTCAACTGGTAGCAGTTGTCTCTTTATGTGTGAATTCCCTGAGGTTTTTGCAAATATCTTCAGTTTTTACAGTCAAAAAACTTAAGAAGAAGGCCATGTATACTGAACAGGATCTTACTTCTGGTGGTGCAGCACACAACATGGAAAAGCAGTGGTGGTTCCTTTCCGAGTTAGATATTTGACAAACACGCGGCCTTTCCAGAAGATAAGTCCTCATGGAAATCTTCCATTGCAGAATCAAGAAAGGTAAGATGTAGAGCAGAAGTCCTTTCACTACAAAAAAAATACACTTTCGTGATGATACGTGTTTGTCACAGTAGGTCGGGTTTTTGTCATGCATGTACATCCATGACAATTTTATGACAGAATCAAGATAATCATACATGTGCTGTCGTAGAAGTGTTCCATGACATTACCAAAATTATCCTCACAGAAGTGTCCACTTCCATGACGATAAATCGCGCGTCACAGAAGTGCTTTCGTCAAGGGTGACCGACACGTGGCATCCACCATAACAGAACGCCGTTAAGCTATCGGGTCGGGTTTTGGATCCGATAACCCGTTAACAGCCCCGACCAATGGGGATTTTCCACGTGTAAAATCATCATTGGCTGGAGGAAACACGTGTCGGCTCACCGTTGGGACAGATGTTATCCGCTCATTGGACCAAAGGCGCCTATGATACGGCGACACGTGGCACGACCCAACAGAGGCCCATTCCTATGAAAAGGCCGGCCCGTTTGACTTGGTCAAAAGGAGGCGGGCCAGCCCACGGAAAGCCTGTTAACGGCATGTTCGCATATAGCCCATTTACAGCCTGCTAACCCAGGGCCCATTACGCCCTATCTGAATTAGGCCCAGTAGCGTCATCTGAGCCGTCCAATATGATTCCAGCCCGTTTATCTTCCGGCCCATGTGTGGCCCATGACTTCTTTCAGCCCATATGAGGCCCTTTGTATCTCTTGGCCCATTAACGGCCCATGGTGAAACTGGCCCGTAATGAACAGTGTATCACTTTATACCCATTAACGGCCCGTTATTCTATTAGGCCGTTTCCATCCCAAGTTATCTTTCGGCCTTCTCAGGGCCCATTGATTCTTGGGCTCATTTGCAGCATTCGGTTACATACGGCCCGTTACTGTCATTTTTTGCTTGTGGGCCAAATTTAGCCCGTCGTTACAGTCGGCCTGTTTGCGGACCGTTAATACGTTGGGCCGTTTTCATGTCAAAAAATACCCGTTGGGCTGCTTTCATAGAGTTATCAAATACGGTCTATTAACGGCCCATTATGGTCCATGAATTGTACGGCCCATGATTGGCGAAATGATGATACACCTCGTAGAAGGCCCATGGATCTACGACCCATATGAGGCCCATGGATCTACAGCCCGTAGAAGGCCCATGGGTCGTATGGCCCGTAGAAGGCCCATGGACCCTACGGCCCGTAGAAGGCCCATGGACCCTAAGGCCCGTATAGAAGGCCAATGGATCCTACGGCCCGTATAGAAGGCCAATGGATCCTACGGCCAGAAGAAGGCCCATGGATCATACGGCTTGCAGGAGGCCCATGGTTACAACAGTCCGTGTGTTGCCATGATTATTTTGGCCTAGTTACCAAAAATAGGCTAGTGTGGCCACTAGAAAAACACAGAAAAAGAACTGCAGTGACTACAAGCAAACAACTAAACAAGACAATAAGGAAATAAATAAGCAAGCAATTAATGCTAGCCTATTACCGCTATTACACATATTACATCCATTGAGCATCAAAGTTCACCACCAGTGCAAATATAGGGAACAAAGCAGCATATTACATACACTGGCCATTAAAATTGGCCACCAGTGCAAATAAACGCGACAGCAAAACAAGAGGATAACTGAAACAACTTCAGAAGAGCTCAAGAAACGTTATCCTAGGTATCCACCATGCTGGCAATAAGCTTAGCAAGCTGATTAGCTTTGTCCTGTTTGGTGCTAAAATCCTCCAACGCTTGCTGTTGCACCAGAAAGTATGCATCTGAATCAAGATAGTCTTCCTTAGCTGTTTTATCAGCTTTGTTGGAGACCAACAAGGATGTGTCACTATCCTGAACCTTATCTGCATTACTTCCTTTACCATTGCTTAATAAGGCACTCTTCTCCAATATTTTGTCAGCATTCTAAAAGAAGAAACAAGCAGACACATAACAAGTTTATCATGTACTAGTATATGAAACTCATTTCGATGAACCAGTTCATTAGTAAGGTGGACAGAATTAAACTACCAAGTCTTCTATTGCCAAGTACTAGTACATAATAAAAGCATCAAACAAACATATATCTATGTCCTATGGTCACTGCATTGTCTTGCCAAATCAAAATAGAGACACGGTTCAAATCATATCAGTTCAAGACAAAGTAGCAGTGAAAGAATATAAAGCGTGGGAAACTACACGACACAACAAGATTTCAGATGGGTACCACGGGTCTACATTTACAACAACACTATTGGCTATGTTGTGATGCTAGTAATGTGCATGATATGAAAGTC